CCATAGATCATGTGTAATGTACCAAAATTTTCCGAGCACAAAGAACATTACAAATGCTGATCGTTGATACTTTTTATATATTGCGCATTATATGTTCATAAACTTTTTATGTCCAAATACAATGAATCATTCACTTTGGACATAATATCTCGACGTCTAGTTATCCTATTTGACCATTTGATTTGCCTAAATCAGAAACATCGGATGGTAGTATTTTCACTCAAATTGGATCGCTAGACGTCGAAATACGTACGTATTTGTGTCCTGATTCATATTTGTTGATCAATTTTTAATTAGAAATTGATCGCCAAAAAAATGAATCGGCTACTTTAAGACGTAATATTTCGACGAATGGCAGTGATCCGATTTGAACAAAAAATACTACTATTTTATTCACCTCGACTGGACGAATCGAATGGTTGTATATTTGGACAAATCAGATCACTGAATATTAAAAATTAGATTATTGAATATTGAGATGTGTGTTATGAAATAACTTATTACGTATACATGTACGTATTTAGGACGTGAACATACAACACCTGATATAGAAGCTTTACCAATCTATAAAAGGTATCAATGATCAGCATTTGTAATGTACTTTGTGCTCAGAAAATTTTGGAACATTACACATGATCTACGGAAAGTTTGGGGGTACGTTACTTCTGATGAACACTATCATCTGACTGACTACCAAGAGATCTGACTGATCATTTCACACTATTTACACAATTTACAGAATTCGCCAGGGTGACCACCAAAAGTACAAGTCACGTGATAATTCTTTGATAACGTCAACGATGCGAAATGGTTAGGGTTTGTATCTGGATCAAGGTTAATTAGCAAACAAAAAAATTGTTTTTATAGTAAAATTTCGCAAGGAACATTTATTTAGAATACAAAACATAGGCTAGTTTTTGAGATACAATATTTTTTTCAAAAATTTGCCTTTGTTTTGTTTAAATTATGCTCAGAAAACATGACGAATGAACTTAGAGCCCGATGCTGAAATAAACAAAAATATTATAAACATAACCAAAACACCACTACAGGTCAGGTAATCATTTGTGATAAGTAACGAATTAAGATGCGACGTTGGGATATTAGAGTAACAAATATGACTTTGATAGCGTTGTTTCATTCTCATCTGTACTGTATTCTATTTATTAATAATATCGAATATTCATTTTATTTCTTAAGTACCTCATATATTTATTTCTTATTTACAGAGCACGTGATTAAAAAGTACTACAAGAAGTTGATAAGCTACTTGAAGAATATTTTCAGAAACTAAGACATGTTGCAATAAATACCTATAAATCTTTTAAATATTTTATAGTACCAAATGAATATCTCACAAAAATATCATTAAGAAAAAAAAACTGATATTGGATGAAATGTCTATTTTGGTTCTGCATAATCTCCCTGAACAGAATGGAAGAAATCTTACTAAATGTAATTCTTTGAAAATCATACAAATTATGAAGCTGAAAATATTAGCATGTCTATTATTATGGAAATCTCTAGTTATAACAAAACTTAAATTTGTTTGGAACTTTTATACAGAAAATATGACTCTGATAACTTGAAAAATATAGCAATTTGAATAATGCTAAGCACTCTGAAAAGATAGCAGGAAAATTTACAGAGCAGGCAATATGAAGTTGTATTACTATTTAGCTAGTTTTGCTTCATTATCTTCTTAATAAGACTAAATAATTTAACACAATAATGATACAAGTTTTGGTTATTTTGTTAGTTTTATCATTTAATTATTTACTATTTATAATAAAAGACATTATAATTCAAATTATGAATGAAATTTATAATAAGATCTAAGCTCTCATTACTTTTTTAGCAAACATATTTCTATCTCAAAATCAATATAAAAATCAAGTTATTTTCTTTATATTTATTTAGATCTTATTAGCTTTATACACATAGTTCACAAATATATTCATATATTTGAATTTGATCTATCACTATTATAAACAAGAAAGCTGATAGTATTATCAAAAGAAAAGGATAAAAAATAAGTTAATTTGTTAGTCTTAACTAATCAATTTTGATTTAATTGAAAACTTAAAACAAATACTTGAATTAATAAATAATAGAATTTTACTAAAAAAATATATCATCTATAATTAAATAGTTAATGATATATTATTAAATTCTATTTTTTGATTTTATAGTTACTTTCTTAACAGAATTAAAATAATATTATTAAATTTAGTATAAATATAATAACTTTTTATTTTTATAATTTTATTAAAAATTAGTTAATTATTTTAAAAAAGAAATAATATAACAATTAAAAAATACATGTCATATAAGATAATTATTTTTTATTAAATCTAATATGTAATAATAGAAAATATAATATTTATTAATATTAATATGAAAAATATTATAACTTATAATTTAGAATAGTTTTTAAATAAATAAAAATCAAAGATTATTATTAATAAATCTCTTGTAATTCAAGCTAAATACAATTATTTTTGCAAAAAATTAAAACAATATGTGATTTATATTAATTTTACAAGTTAATTTTAATATAATTATATTAAAATTTATTTGAAAAAGTATATTGTGAATTTTTTGAATAAAATTTTATTTTCATATAAAAAGTTGTTTTTATTCAAAACTATCTTTTAAAGAATTCAAAAATTATTTTAGATAATAAAGAATATGTAAATTAAATATCTGAAAAATTATTATATTTGAAAATTATATTTAATAGTATCATATAATAATAAAATAAGAAAAAATTGAAAATATTTCTGATAAATTTTATTTAATAAACTTCTTATTCAATTTAGTAGGATTTAATATTCAATTAATTTTTCAAAAAGTTTATATTTTTAATATTCAAATCAGATTAAGATCAAAGATAAGCCTAAAAATAACTTGCAAATATTTTGAATTATATAAAATATATATACAAATAACTGATATAATAATAATTATTACTATTCTTGTAAATTATCAAGAAAAATTTCAGAAAGTATTTAATATATTAAAAAAAGTGTATAATACCAAAAATAATTCTTAATAAGAAAATGCAAGCATATTACTTAATTACAATATCAAAAGTTGACTAAAAAATTGTAGTACAAGCAAGAATTTGATTAGAATAATTTTAATAAAAAAGATTAATATAAAATTGATAAAATAAAGTTATATAAATATTATTAAAAATTTTATCAAGTTTTCACTAGTATTTTATATAAATTATAGTTTTTGTAAAATAATCACTTGATATTAAAGCTCTATTCGGGTCGGATCGGATTTGAAATCAACCCGAAACGATAATTTCGGATCGGGTTTGATCCGAAAATCGTAAAATAATTTTTCGTTAATAACTTTTATTTTTACTCAGACACTTGTATTTTGTGACTAAGTACAGTCGTTCGGAATGTAATTGTGTATATGCCCACAAATTTTCGTTTAATTCCAATTAATATAAGCTGATCCGAATGATTACGGATCGGATTTGACCCCAATCCGACACGACTCGAAATGTGCGTTCTGGGTCGGGTCACGGATTGGACCCGACCCGGTTGGAGCACTACTTGATATATATATATGATAATTTATATATTATTATTGCATAACACAATATCTATTATTGTTACATTCATCTATTTCTAATATTTATATTAAACTTATCTTTTAAAGACAAAATTTTATAAAAACAAAGCTATGGTGCAGGAACTCTTAAATCGACAATATGTTTCAATTTTAAAATGTTACTACTCAACATAGAGGCAAAATTTTCAGAATCTGACCGTAACTTTGTAGAACTTGTTATAAATAACAAAGTTACCAGTCGATTTTGAAAATTTTGCCTCTATGTTGAGTAGTAACATTTTAAAATTGAAACATATTGTCGATTTAAGAGTTCCTGCACCATATGTAATTGCGTAAGTATATTTAATAATATTTTTATAATTTTCTTGATCCCTCTTTTAATGAATTCAATTATAACACATATAAATTTTGGCAAATTTCTACCTTTCATTAAATTGGATATAATAAAAATGTGTTTTTTAATTAATATATCGCTTTTTCTACATGTATAACTGAAAGATGCACATATTGTAACTGCTGCATATAACCTAAAGATATATTCGTAGTGGTACATGGGCTAATAAATACATATTTATGTGAATATTTATACATGTACATATAAAGTATAATATGAAGAATCGAATTGTTTAATTTCTTAAGTTATGTATATAGTTGACCATAATGCAACTGAAAGATGCACATGTGTATTGTAACTGAATGACGCCGCACATAGTGTAACTGTAAGACGCACATATTATAACTACTACACATAACTCATAATATGGAAGAATCGAATTGTTTAATTTCTTCCTTTAATTATGCATATGGTATACTGCAACTGAAAGATGCACATATGTATAGTAATTGAAAAACGCACATTGTATTCGTAGTGGTACATGGGCTAATAAATACATGTATATGTGAATATTTATACATGTACATGTAAAATATAATATGGAAAAATCGAATTTTTTAATTTCTTTAATTATGCATATTATTAAAATTGTACCATAGAGTACTGACTAAAGTACTCTTTTTGTGGATAATTTAAACCTTCATTACTCCAATTTTTTATTATTTTATTATAAACTACAACAAGAGGGTATTTAGTCTTGGTTTTATCATTTTTATGCAGACCATAGTCGATTTCACATACTAAATACGCATAATTCAAAGATGCCTTTTCATTAGTAATAAAGCATGCATAATAAAATTCAATATACATCATTCAAAGATGCATTAGTATTGGTAATAATTCATGCATAATAAAATTCAATACGTGAAACAAATCATGATAGAAAAAAATTCTTATAAATAAAGAACTTAATTAACTACTTTCAAAAAAAATTTGATAAACTAAAAGTATAAAAAGAATGAATTTCCAATGCAATCACTTTCTCGTAGTTCTTATTGTAATTTGTATATCCATGGCCTTTGGATTACCTATTACCAACTCCAAAAGAAGTGAACTTTCAGATAGTCTACAAGCTGTTGATACTCCTATTATTGGTAAATTACATATAGTTGATGATGTAATCGATCAACTCAGTCAGTAACCAGATGATGCAGAAGCGTACTTCATGCTTTACCCCTCCCGGTGTAACTGGACTTTATCCTCGTTAGTCTACTTGAAGGTAGAAACGGAGCTTAAAATTAATACATGTGTTATAGCGAGACCTTATTTTAAAGTACATTTTTAGTTATTAAGGGCTGTGAATAATAGTAAAGATAATTCATAATTATGTACAAAGATTTATGATGTATCATTGATTAAATTTTCTTTTGGGTTATAATCAAATTATTATTATATAAAATATTCCAATAAAATTATGATTTTTTTGTTAAATTAATCGTTGGTACACACACTTAACAAATTTTTATATAGTTTTACAAAAAAGAAACAGACAACAAATTATTTTTAAAATTGGTATTTAGTCTTGAAAAGAGAACTTGAAAGTTAAAGAATCATATAATATTTGAATCATAGGCAAAAGTTTACTGAGTTTGATAGGCAGTTGAAGTAAGATTCGACTTTATTATGTTTTTGTGTATTAACGATACTCATGAACATTGTGAACTGAACACGCTTTGCAATTGTATTCATCATCCTTATAAAAATTGTTACATTTACTACAATCATGGGTATTCTGAATTCAGATGCCATCTTTGTGTTTGTAAATCAATTTAGAAACAGTCAATTTTTTAAAACACAACTACACAAAAAATCTATTCCCGGAATGCCTATGAATAGGCCATTTGACATGTTAAATATTACAAGTATATTTATTATGGTGCATAACATCTAAAGTCATTAAATGTTTGTAAATGATAAATGTATAAACTTCTCAACTAAGGAGTAAATTCAAATTCAATCCATGAATATGATAGCATAGGCCCTTTTTGATCATGTTCACGAATTAAATTTCGTATTTACTTCTTAATTGAGATGTTTATACATTTTATAAAATATAAACGTTTGATGAATTTAGATGTTATGCACCATATTAATAATAATTTTTATTACAATTTGGTTATTTTATAATATATATTCAAAGTTTTAAATAAAGTGAACCGTAAAGAATCATACTTACACTAACGCTAAGAGATTGTTCATTTTACCTTGTTTGAAAACATGTGTCATTCTTTTACGTTATCTTTATTTTCATTAGTGAAACTCAAATATCCATGGCAATACACATTGTTAGTGTATTAAGAGACGATGTACGTGGAATGTGTCGTTTTTCGAAGAGTCATAACAATAAATGACATGCATAAAAGGAAAATATTGTTTTTATAACGACGACAGTGCGTACTTACCCATATATGAGAACAATCAACAGAAATAATGAATACAACAATACTAATGTTACGTGATTTCTAAAGTAATAACAAAAGAACAGGAATGACATAATTGCGTTTTGTGTTAGACTCTAGATACGTACACATAAATAAGTAGATAATTTTTATATGAATAAAAAAATAAATTAACAACAATTGTATAAAGAAGCTGGTAACAATAACAATAAAAAAGCCTCTGATGTTTTAACAAATTATAATTTTTCATTGATGAAATAATTTAATAAAAGTATAAAGTAAAGTAGTTACAATTTTCTCTTTTGATATTGCCATATTTATTGTTGGTATTTCGTTATGAGACTGTAGTTTTTGTTGTAAGGCATTTGATACTTCTCATTGTCTTTGATTTCATCATTGATTTCACGTGGTTATATTTTTTCTTGCAAGTCATTATATATCGATATATCCAAAGCAGTAATTTTAGATGGTGCACTCAAATTGCACCACAAAGATAAAAAGTAACGAATTGATTAAGTGAATAGGAAAAATATAACTATATCTTCGTTTGGAACACATAAACTGACACTTGTCAACCCTAACATTCAATATGAATTTTAATTAATAGCGATAAGAAATGACAATATGATTTCGTGTCAGTTGGATAGAAATTAATTTTTCGACTGGTGTAAACTGCATTTGGGTGGTGTTTTTGTAGTTTGCTCATTATTGCAGGAATACTTTTTGCAATTTCGTCATCTCATCAAGTTCTTTTAATTTCTGTTCTTCTAATCTAAGACACTCAATAATTGTTAGGACATTCTAAAGATCTATAACACTTAAATGCAAAGTATACAGTTTCCACATTGGTATTACTCGGATCATAGATGGAGAGGATAAATTAATAAGTTCATTTACAGTTGGTCTGTTTTCTGTAACACGATCCCAGCATTTTTTGATAAAAAATTTACACCATCTGGGAATATTAATTTACATTTATAAGGGAACACGACTTAAAATACCAAGTCCAAGATGTATGTCGTGACTCCGTTCACCGAATGGTCGTTCACCTGTTACAATCTCGTACATAATCATACAAAATTATAAATACATGTATCTGCAACTTTAGGGTACAGCTACTCATTTAGTATCTCTGAACTCATATAAGAAAGTACTTACATGTACATTTATTCCGTAGATTTTTTGATATCGGCTGGGCCGGTAAATCCAAAATCAACAATTTGAAGAATATCCTGTATTAATATATTTCTTGGGTGAAAGTCACGATTCATAAATCCTTCTTTGTGAATTTTTTTAACTCTTCAATAACATTAAATAAATATCTAACTTGAGATTCCAAGTTAATTTTTATAGCTTGAATTAATATACGTATTTGCGAAGATCGCCATCTTTTGCATATTTCATTACTATCGCGATTCATTTGTAGTTTGGTTTTTAGTTATCCCATAATACATGTAATTTGAATTCACAGTGCACTTTAGAGCAATTTGAATCTATTTTAAAAATTTGTGTATATATTATAATTATAATAAAATTATTCATTTTTACCTCATTTATAAACTCTGATTTAATCTAGTTTGAATTGTGTAATAATTTCAACACAACTTCGCGTTTATATCATTCATTTCGTTTAAACTTATTTTCTCATGATCCCATTTCTAATAATCATGCAACTATGCTTTATAAATTGTTCCAAAACCTCCTATTCAGCATTGTTAATCTTCAAAAGAATCCATTCGAAACATCTGTATTTATTAATTTTGCCACATTCTCTTATTAGACAATCGATATCTTTATTTTCACCAACTGTTCAGCTTCATAAAATTGTTTGCGATATTCAAAACATCTATGGCAGTACACATTTTTATGACAATCGTCACATTTACTAAAATCAAGAGTATTGTGAGCTGAACAATCATCGCAGTAGTTATAAAATGGTTTTAGTGATTGTGTATTTTTGTTTATCGTTATTAATGGTGATAAATAAATGATGATTGATATGTATGGATATTCCTTTATAGAACTTTCTTGTCAACACAATGCATGAAAAATGACACAGAAGCGTATACCGATACGCTCACAGCATTATATTTGATTTATCATATCGATATTAATACATGTATAGAGATATGCGTAACGGCAGCGTTAATTTCCACACATATAAATCGTTTATTTACCATCTTTTCAAAGTTTTAAATGAAATACAGCACAAATCACTAAAAAAAATTTATAAAGCGAATTTAAAAATGGAATATTATACTCATTATTGCAGTAAATGTTACATTGTCAAGAAAATATGAAATGTTATGCATGTTTTGCATATCAATATCAACAATATAAAGCTGAATGGTCTAGCGAAAATAAATATATCATCAATCTAATCATTGAACGCAGGAAACTTAGTGAATCTTTTGATTGGATCCCTTTTGAAAAGTTTTCCATGTTGAATATCTTGCAAAAGGAGGTTTTGGAAGAATTTGTAAAGCATCTTTGCACGATTACAACGAGTGTGATCATGAAGAAAAAAATTTAACGATCTAAAAGACACAAAGTTGTTGCATTGAAAACATTACGCAATTCAGAGCAAATTACTTTAGAGTTTATAAATGAGGTAAAAATGAACCTCTAAATATAAAGAAGATGATTTTTTGTTTCTAATACAATAAATCTTTCTAAAAATAGATTCAGACTGCTCTAAATTTCAGTTATGGCTATATAAATTATTATGGAATAACTAATGATCCAGAAATACTCGATAGTAATGGATTATGCGATCTTCGCAAATATATTAATCCCAAATTCGAAAAATTAATTTGCTTTATATTATCAGAGGGCTGAAAGCATTTCACAATGAGGAAATTGTGCATCGAGACTTTCACCCTGGAAATATATTAATGTTAAGTATTCCTGATTTTGGACTTGCCAACCCGACTAATTCAAATAAATCAAATCAAGAAATTTATGGTGTACTTTCTTAGATGAGCTCAGAGGTTCTAAATGGAACGACATACACTAAAGCTGCAGATATTTATAGTTATGGAATGGTTATGTTCGAAATTGTAACAGGTGAACGAAGTCATGATATATCTTGTATACGACGTATAAGAAGGAGTACGACCTAAGATATCAAACACAGTTCTTGGATGGTGCAAATTTAATATCGAAAAATTTTGGGATCCTATTCAAGAAAACAGACCAACTGCTTTGGAACCACTTTTTTTTACTCTATTACTATATAGCGAATTAGTACCATTCATTTTCAATACTACAGCTCTTCAGAGTATCCTAAAACAAATAAAGAAATTAATAGATGTCATAAATAGTGCTCCAACCGGGTCGGGTCGGATTGGGTCAAACCCGACCCGAAATATTTCGGGTCAGCCTAAAAAATGTTATTTCTCGTTCAATATTAATTGGAATTAAACGAAAATTTGGTGCATAAATCTAAAGTCATCAAATGTTTGTATTTATAAAATATATAAACTTATTTACTAAGAAGTAAATACAAAATTTAATCCGTAAATATGATAAGTCTTTTCTGAGCATATTCACGGATTAAATTTTGTATTTACTTCTTAGTAAAGAAGTTTATACATTATATAAAATATAAACGTTTGATGACTTTAGATTTTATGCACCATATACCCAATTACATTCCGAACAACTGCACTTAGACACCAAATACAAGTGTCTTAGTAAAAATAAAAGTTATTAACGAAAACTATTTTACGATTTACGAATCAAACCCGATCCGAATCCGACCCGACCCGAAATTATCGGTTCGGGTTGACCTCAAACCCGATCCGAAC